AGTTCACTTGTCCTCTTTTGTTACTTCTCTGTTCTTCTTTAAATTCTTTAAAAAGTATAAGACTACTTTTTAACCTGCAAAATCTGTGGTTAAAGTGGGGGGATCGTCTTATACGCCGGGTATAAGGATAAGGAGGATGGGCGTGCTAAAACTCTATATTTTGACTGGAAAAATGGGGGGTCGTCTTTTACGCGGGTCGTTTTATACGCCGGCAAATACGGTGAATCCCCCACACTTTTTTCTAGTAGCCAAAATATTTCAAACTCCTTAGAGAGAAAACTGCTGCATATGCTTTATGGGGCTTCATTGCTGAATGGATGCTTTAAGTTTATATAGTCACCTGAAGTAATTTAATTGCCATATTGAAACTACATTGTTTGTCTGATATTTTATTCATGTTTTTAATTAATTGCAGGACATAATAACTTCTTTTATAGTTATTTTATTGATTTATAACATACATTGAACATATTAAAATACAAACAATACACTACACCAGTGCGAATGCATACAAAAAGTCCCCCAACCCAATGTACCCACATAACAAAAATAATTCCAAAAAGACACAAAATTGACTTCCCACCCTCCAGTCCAAGAATACAGGAACAAATAATAGTTATGGTGAACTTCTCTATATTCCTAACACCACTCATTACTACTTCTGGCCATAAAGTATAACAGCATAGTATTATAGATCAAGTCATGCAAATCTTGATGTAAGACAAATATAGTTCCCAATAGCTTAAAAAAATCCAAAGATTTCTCTTTAATCAGTTGCAAGTTTGTCCATTTCGTCCATTTTGATGGCTGCTCTTCACACAACAGCTGATTTAAACTTGATTCAAATGATACTTTCAGATGCTGCTTCTTGCCTCTGAATCTTTTGGGGGCAGGGCATGTTCAAAGCTCTGAAGAAATACTAATACTGCTGGTTCTCAGCACCTTTCTCTTGTGTGCTAAATATCCAGCACGCCTTGCCTTGTTGCCAATTTCATCCTTCCTTTTTCCAGTGGAACAGGTTGAGTCTCCTTTATTCCAAATGCTTGGGACCAGAATTGGTTTGGATTTTTTCAGATTTTCGAATATTTACATATATATAACCTTGTACACAGGACCCAAGTTTAAACATGAAATTCATTAATGTTTTATATACACCATATATACATATCCTGAAGATAATGTTATATATAATATTTTAAATAATTTTGTGCATGAAATGACATTTGCGTGCACTGAACGCATAGGAAGCAAAGGTGTCATTATCTCAGCCACCCATATGGACAATTTTGGAATCATACAAGCATAGAGCTGAAAGAGACCTCAAGCGCCATCTAGTTCAATCCCCTGCCATGCAGGAATGTTTCAGAATTACAGGTAAGAGATACTCAAGCTATATAGAATCACTATTTCAATTATGGGCATATAACAGTTTGTCTGTTACAATCATGTAATGCAGGGATAGGCAACCTAAGGCCCGGGGGCCGGACGCAGCCCCCCGAGGCCTTTGGACCGGCCCCAGGCCTGTCCTGCCACTGCCGTCGCTCCCCACCATGATGATATTGATTATTGTTGTTATTGCTTGTTCTTGAGGTTTTCTTGGCAGAATCTCCACAGGGGTTTGCCATTGCTTTTCTGGGGCTGAGAGAGTGTGCATGCGTATTTTT